ATAAACGTTTCCACTAAATTAAAACAAACAACCCTAATGACTTTATTAAAATCTCTTACTGCAATATTGTCCTCATCCCGGCTATACTCTAACTCAACTTTATGGCAGTTTACTCATTCTTCTAATCCTAAACAGAAGCCAAATCCAATCAAATGTAAACTCTGTGGCACAGCCGAATTTCACCTCAAATTATTCCCCCCCGTTCTAATGTCGAGAGAGAAATCTATAAACAAAGGAACAAAACTAGTACTATCTCCATTCCGCTTATCACACTACATGTTTTTCAGTGATATTCTTTTATGGTAAAATCCCGAGAGCTAATAAATAATAATGATAACAATAGAATTGATAAGGAAAAAGCTTTAACTTTTCATACGGAAAATGGACTTTTAGATCTTAAGTATTGGATTCGTGAAGGAAAACGAACAGATTACTCAAAAGAATTCCTATGATTAAAAAACGACCAATTCTATTTCTAATGAAGGAAACAATCATACAGAAGATGAAAATCCGAAATTCTAATTTAGCATGAAAGAATGAAATCCAATGGAAAAAAAAAAAAAAAGAAGAAGAAGGCAGAACTGAGCTGAATCCGCAAAGGAAAGATGCTTTTGGTATTTGAAATTGCGTTAGAAGTCTTACGTACCTTTCTGTGCATGTGGAGAGCCTGAGAATTTGGAGTTTCCAGGGGGGGGAGAGATGGAGCTCCGGTGTAATTCAAAGAGGAAGATGAGAGGATGAAATGAAATGAATCTGTGCAAAATGTGGAAAGAGAAGTCAAAGTGATGACTGGCAAGGGCAGACTTTGGCTGAAATATTTATTTTTCAAGTGGGAAATTGCAGACAACACGGTATAGGTAAATACTAACCACCTTCGATCGAGTTGCTTCGCTGGTAATGTCATGGGCCGTGGGCGGTTGGGTCAATCTTCTCTGAAATTACTTATCTACCCTTTTAGTTCACTCCTTTTACAACAATGTATATTTTTTTAAAGAAAAGTGAAAATCAATTCATACTATATTTTTAATTTTAAAAAACTATTTTATAATTTAGATTGTATCAGACTGTAAAATATAAATTTTTGGACGAGAGATAGGTACTTTGCTATTGGAACTCTTTTTACATTCAACAATTTTTATTTTGTAATTCAATACAATTCAAATTATAAAACATTGAACTCATATTTTAAATGCCATGATTTTTATGAAATTATTAAAATATACTTAATTTATTTTTTATATATTAATTTATTAAGGATACTTTAACTTTTTCATTATTATTTTTAATATTTTAATTGTCAAGATATTTTAATTTTTTTTAATTCCCTTTTTTTAATACTTTAGGAGTTTTTCTCTCAAACTATAATAACAACTTAAAATCAAAATTTAAAAAAAAAAAATAATTCTTAATGTCTATTTTTTTCTTAAACTAGTTTTTGTTTTGC